ATAAGAGCCGTGAGAACACCTGGCCTAAAAGCACAACTTACACCTTTCAATAGCACCGATTTATCCTCGAGAATACTTTGTTTCTCCATTTCTTGCCAAGATAACAACAAACACTTAGGTTCCGTTCGTTTGGCGGAAAATATTCTCCCGGAAAATATTTTTCGGATTTTCCGGTGTTCGGGGCGGAAAACGTTTTCCGTGGGAAAATATTTTCCTTCCCCTCACAAAATAGCACAGTCTACGGAAAATGACTTCCGCTTCTTAAAAACGGAAATCATTTTCCGGAGCTTCTTCTTCTTCTTCACTAAGGTCGCCGGCCGCCGCGTCGGACGCCGGACGTTGGCGCCGCCGTCCGCCGCCGCCGGACGCCGGCGTTGCGCGTCGGTCGCCGGCCGCCTCCGCCCGCGGACGCCGGACGCTGCCGCGTGCGCGGCCGGCGGCGGGCGACGCCGTCGTTGCCGCTTGGCCGCCGGCCGCCGGTCGCCCGGACGCCGGACGCCGCCGCGGACACCGCCGCCGCCCGCCCCGTCTTCGCCGGCGAAAAATATTTTCCGAAACTTTTTCATATTAGTCGCCGAATACCGAAAAATTATGTTCCGGGAAAATATTTTCCAGAAAATGATTTCCGAAAAATATTTTCCAAAAGAGAATATTTTCCGCCAAACGAACGGAGCCTTAATTATACTTCGGATGAACATTCGAGGTTTAACACTTATGATCTACTGTGATGATATATCAAGAAAGTACTATCTTCAGACTTTTCATAGCTTAAGACAGCAACCTGTGGCATGTCAACTGTTCATCCAAATTAATTGAGTACTGCTCAAGTGAGAGCACCATTCCTTTTTTTCCAATTGGCGGCAATGGCTATCTCAGGCAGCGTAGGTGTACACCTGGATGACCCCCCTGCAAGACCCAAAAGAAAAGATAGACAAAGAAGTGACACGAGTCCTTGTAGGAATAAAGCCTTTTGTTCACCCAGATGAGGTCTTAACCGTCGCAAAATGATGGACAATCAAAAGAAACTACCTGTCAAGATTTTGCACCTGATCTATTTTTGTGACTAGAGCAATGAGATTGCAATTGAATTGATCCACCCATTCTATTAAGGTCCTCATTGTCCTCAGGATCATCTGATTTTACTGTCGGGGATTGCCAAAGGCTGCATCATCAAATGAAGCTTGAGTAGACAAGCTCTTGTTTACAGAAACCTCAATAAGAAGGAAAACAGAAGACACATACGGTTAAGCAGAGCGAGAGCCACAGAAAACCCAAAGTTAAAGAGGATGATGAACTCAAACAATGCCCTGATTCCTATCTAATACCAGTATGCTTCAGTAAAGAACCCACAGGACTTCAAAACTTGAATTCTCATTGGCTCGTTTGAGCTTGAATTTGGAGGAATCTATTATAGAATTAACACAAGAGGAATCGGTTGGTCAGAGTCTCGATTCGCTTTGATCGTTAAGGGTAGGTAACCCACATATATGAAAGGTCAAAATATTGGCATGAAGCAGTTACAAGACTTTACCTTATCGCAAATCGATCCTAAAAACTCGTTAACGACTATTGCATTCTGTCCATACATTAAAGAGATGTCCAATAGCCTCAAATCCACAAATTTTTCAGTTCCTTTACAGTTCAAAATAAATTAGGATTACCACTTCTTACGAAAAAGTAGCTACAAACAAGTTTTCTTACCTTACCAAAAAAAAAAAAAAACAAAATAAAGTAAAAAAGTTGCTTGCCCTCAATTTACCTGTGCCCGGGCACCAAGAGCATTGAGGTCCTAGGCCCGGCCTCATTGGACTCAGGCACAAGCATCAGGGTCCTAGGCCCTGCCTCAATGAATGTGGGCTCGGGCTGTAGTGACCTGAGCATAGGCACCAGGGTCTCGAGCTCAACTTTTATGGACCCAGGTCTGGTCTCCATGAACCGGGGCTCAACTCTCCAGTGCCCGACATTGGGTCCGTCAAGGCCGAGCTCGAGTCCATAGAGGCCGGGCCAGCGACTCCGGTGCCCGTGCCTAATTCTTTAGCTGCTTGTGCCCAAGTAATCAGTGCTCACATAGTGCATATCTATTTATGAAAATAAAAGAAGGTTTTTCTTTCCAAACCATCTAATATAATTTCCAATTCATTTTTATACTTTAGCCAAAAAATGGAAATTATTGTCATATTTCTGGAAAATTATTTTTTGGAAATCATTTTTCAGAAACGTCAAATTTTTACGAAACAAATAGAGCAAAAAGTACAAAAAAAAAAAAAGTTGTGCCCATGTGATACTGCCCCTCTTCGTCGGCGAGCGCTGAGAGTTGGTGAGAGACTGCTTGCCCCTGCACGAGGGGGTTCTGGGCGAAGGCAAGCAATCCCTCGCTCTAACGGCCATACGAAGGCCTGCCACTCTCGCTATCGTAGGGGACGCGTATCGGCAAAGGGTCACCGGAAAGGGGATGCGACCGTGCCCCCCTCTCTCGTGCAAAGAGAAAATGGAAATCAAATTATCGAATTATTGAATGGGTGACATGTGTATCATATAATTGCCTCGTTTGTTCGAACGAACTATTATCGCTAGCTTTGGCTTAATCTCCATGTTAATTGTGATTGAGAATTGAGTTGTTGCAAGGGGAAAGTGCATGTGTAGATTGGTTCTCTTTTCATTTTCAAAATCCGTGGACCAGGCGGCACACGAGAAAGGCAAAGAAAATCATGACATGATTGGACCCAAAAGTGACAAATAATGGAGTAAAATATGACCAATAAAATGCCAAAAAAAAACACGAAGAGATAAAAGTACAATCGAAACCGATCCTTCTTTTTTTCTCTAATGCCTTTCGGTGCATGTTCTTGCAATTGTCACTATTCTCAAATTCTCCGACCACTTTTGTTCTTGCCGGAGCCGCTCCATCAGAGGATGAATGAATCCAATGATTCAGCATGGCATACCATTTCATGAGTAAAACAAAGACATTGCATGGAGCTGAGCATCGGAGTAAATCGAACTAGTTACAAAGCCCACGCTTTGGGCGGGCATACCCGGAACGTATGTGTTTCTTCGGCACATGTCGGTGATTTAACATGTTGTTTTTATGTGTGCCGGTGATGAATGTGATCATTTATGCTCTCAAAGATGTTGTCCTTCTCCTCACCACGGACTGGACCGGAAGCACTTGGCTCGAAAGCCTTAGTCACCGAGAAACGACAATTCCCGTGTGACTTTCGATACCGTCAGGGTGTCGACATAAATGGAAGAGCCTCCTATTTATTGGGAGGAGGAGAGGAGCAATTTCTAAGGATTTTCTCAGGATCAGGATTTTCACCTTTGAGTACCAAGTGACATCTTCCTTGGTTTAGTTTGTTGTCTTTTCTCTCACTGTCGCTGCCACGGGGAGGTTCGTATAACAACGCTTTCGCTGATCAAGATAAACTCGCACCCCCTTGGGTCAAATGACTATGATGGATTTAGAAGATCATCATAATCACGCTTTTTGAGGCACATCTTAGCTAAATTCCTTTCTGGTTGTATCCACTTTCACTTTTATTGAGGTTACGGCTTACCAATAAATCTTGGGTCGAGCACCATCCACGGAGTTTGTTCTTGGTGTCAAAACTAATAAATCTTTCATGAAACTATATTGCCCTCCAAAGACAACTCAATTCTAGGACAAAACCAGATCACATTCTTCCAGCTACTTTACACAATGATTCAAGATGGTACAACTTTACAGTTTGTGGAGGACATATCACTTCAATCTTTGTATTGTGGACAAACCTCCTTTTGGTTCTGTAAAGTGATAAAACAGAGACACAAGAACAACTTGATTTTGAACTGCTTTCGAGCACTAGATTTTCTGATGATGTTGGTAAATATTTGCATGGGATCACCATGTGCGAGAAAGTAGATGATACCTGTGTTTGGTCAAAAAGATGTACATTTAGAGACTACCCATCTATTTGCAGAAGGAGTTCTTTACAAAATTGCCAGCTATTTCATGACATTCTGAAGGACTTGATCCTAGGAACTCCCAAGAGTTGGCATATATTATTAGGATTATAGCAAGCTCGGTTAGAGAAAAGGTCAGCAAACTATTTTAAAAGGAGAAGACTTGGTGCGGATTTTGACAGTTTAACATGATTAGAACATGATTAGTATATGGGATGGTGCTTCAGGATGCACTTGCAAGGGCAATATAAATGCCCAATCCGCACCAACCACACATGTTCATCACAACTAATCCAAGGAGTTATTGAGTTTGCAGAAGTCAATCTGAAAGACTGTCTGATCTGGTCAGAGCCAGGATGGTTTTGAAAAAATATGAAATCCCTTCCCCTATCAGAATCTCCAGGATGTCGGAATAATAATCAAAACGAAACTTGATTCCGTATTGCGAAGAGGCGAGCTTGTGTTGAGGACTCATGCATATAGATACTTCACCAGCAAGTCTCTCTAAGACAGCTATGGTGGACCTGTGGTAATGCAGCAAAACAAGTCCTGCCATCTCAGCAGAGGGAGAGAAGAAGAAACCCTGGAGCTTTCAACACCGTCAAATGGTTAAATTCGGCGCCAAACTAATAACATTTGATACTCACATTGTTGAGTTTTGCAGCATGCAAAAACCTTCTTTTCCGTGAAATTTCTAATCAGCTAGGGGCGGGGGGGGGGGGGGCTTGGGTTTGTTCCTGATTCTAAGTCCTTTTTGAAATTGTACGGGGTTGTTTTTTGTATTTTCAATCGTCTCCAACTATATAGAATTCGATTCAATTATCAATTTTTATCAATTTTCCACTTCATATGACTAATTTTTTTCACATTGAATCAGCATTATTGGAGCGTCTGAGATTCTATCTGACTGAAAATTGGCTAACGGACTGAGTTGGAGGTCTCTGGGGCTCATAGTTGCAGCTCTTCACATGATGGTAGGAGCCTCTTTCTTGAATATACCATGAATAAGCTCAGAATTTCAATAAAGTACCATGTGCTTCAACTTCCACAGATTGAGATTTGTAAATGTGCAAAAACTTTTGTCTGAAATCTCGGCTGAAAAATGGCAAGAGAGCACATTTATGTGGGAAAAAAAGACGACTATGTGAAGATAATGCAAATCGTGAGTAGCTTAAAAGGGGGCAGCAGACAACATTTTGTATTGCCTTAAATTTCCAGCCACACACGATAGGATACGCCTAATCATCTCTCTCTATCTTCCTTCTTCCCTAATCTCATCGAATTTCTTGATTGAAACGTCATACAATCTAGAACCACACCATTTTCCCGATTGATTATATTTACATATGCGGGATAGCGGATAACGCGAAATAGGAATGGGGGAAACAAGAACAGAACACCACATCACATCGCTCATCATGCTTCGGTTAAATGTACGGAGAAGTGGTTCTTCGAAACGGTTGATTCTTGGAGCCAGAATCTACATGCCTCAACTGCCTCGTCGACGGACAAGTAGAAAGACTCTCTGCCCACTTTGTCCACAAACCCTGACAGGAGCATCTTCTCCATAACCCCCATCCTAGGATTCACTATGCCCATCTGCAAAAAGTTGAATCGAGAGCGACATAAGATCCTTCCTTCTATAAGTATAGCCGAGAAAAATCACGTTTAGACTCTTACCCTGATCCCATTTACTTCCAAGCTTTTTCTTAGTTCTTGTAGTGTCTCAATGCCTGTCATATCAATTGTCGAAACTCCTGTGGAACAAAAAGAAGGCGAATCATTTTCTGTCACAATCTCAATTTCCAGCTGGCTAAATGGCGTAAGCTTGAGAGTTTGTACAAATTGATGATTATCCAATACAGTTGTTGATAGTAACATCGTCTTTGTAGCAATTATTGAAAACTGTAATTGCAGGACCGGTAAAGGAAGGACGGATAATCCTACCTCCAATATCCAGAAGAAGATGCTCGACCTCGTTTACTTTGGCATTAGTAATGTCGCCTTCATCTCTGATCCACCTCATTATCCTGTAGCCAGAGTTCGAGATGTTAATGAGGTATTATCGCATTTGGCAGAGTCACTTGTCGACCGTGTTATATGCTCTTAGGTACATTGAAATGTACCTTTCTTTCAAGTAGGAGCAATTGGCAAAATAAATGGGAGAGCCAAGCTTCAGGACCAGGATCCCAGGAATCCCAGTCGCTGCGGGATATTGTTCGATGTCGCGGTAAAGGCTTGAATCTGGCATGTTCCCGAGCTTGCATGTCGCTGGCCTAGCCACATACAGAAGGGCCCTGAGGATTGCCAATCCGATCTGCAATGAAGCATTGAGAGCGAATTAAACTAACAAACTTATGCAACATTTCCATTTACATGTGCGATCAAGTTAGATTTGTTTGATAAGAAAAAAGAAGCTTACCGACATCATGAGGCCAACGTCCATGCTGATGAAAGTGACACCAAAGAAGGCAGCCATGCAAATGCAGAAATCGAACTTGTCAACCTTGAAGAGGCGATACGCTTCGTCATACTCGATCAGCCCGAACATGGCAGTCATTATAATGGCGGAGAGTGCCACAAGAGGTGTATAGCTAAAAAGAGGGGCTAAAAAGATCAGAGTCAACATCATGCTTATTGCCATCACGATGTTTGACATTGCTGTCCTGCAACCGGCATTGAAATTGACTGCGGACTTCGAGAACGGCCCTGTCAATACAGAAATCGATGTCAGTCAGTCCATTCGACTCGAAAGTTATATTCCAATTTTGCAATGAGTTTAGTGCACATGAAGATAAAGTATTTCTCAATGCTCTGCATGTTTGAATGTTACCAAACTAAAATGTACCTGTTGTAAGGTAGCAAGAAGTTAAAGACCCCACAATGTTCATCATCCCAAAAGCAATCATCTCCTTGTTTCCATCAGTCTGATAATTCTCCAAGATGGCAAAGCTTCTTCCAATGGCAATCCCTTCCTGCATTAATGTGTGCTGAAGAATTAAAATCTCATACTTGTTTTCAATTTTCCCTCTTCTTCAAAGGAAAGGTGAATTAGAAATAAGAGAAAGAAATCTGGGAATAGCAGATAGTGTCCTTACAGCCATAGCCAAGATGCCTGTGATGATTCCAGCTTTCAAAGTGACTGGCAGATATTGGGATTCAAAGTTCAAATCTTTGATGGAAAGAGGATTGATTCCCCTCTTCAAATGACCCACCTGACAAGAATTAAATAAATTAAATTTCAGAAATAAGAAAAGGAACTTTTATTAAGAAAATATGTCACTGCAATAAATATAGAATTACAGTTGGTAATCATCTCTTATTGGTCGATATATACTGACTCTTAATACATAGTCTACATCATATATAGATTATAGTTAACATGATTTTCTAATTTTACCAAAAAATACTACCAAGTAAAAGCTATTTAAATGCATAGAAATACGATAATATCACTTATATTGCTTGTAGGCCAAAATAGATGTAATGTATCCAAACATTGCCTAAATTAGTCATTATGTCCAGATTAAATTAAACTTGCCAAGACATGATTTTTTCGGGGGGAATTTAGGGGTATTAATAATATTGCGAGATGATAGATTTCACCTAACAGAGATCTTGATTATTCGACCAAAGTCGATAGATTTCACTAAATTTGACTAGATCGATCCCCCAAGGTCATTCCGCTCTCCTCTAATGACAAGTGGAAAAGAGACGGGACGAAGAAAACCATTTCGAAATAAATCCAATGAAAACTCAAATCATAAATTATTAATAAAGTACACCCGAAGGAACTATCAACAGTTGATCAGATCTTTGATATTGATGTAAGTATATATAAATATATCTTCTTTGCGTGACAAACTAAGATTGGTGAATCTGGATAGAGACAAGGTGGGCAGCCCACAGAGAGTATGAAACCTCAAAGGGCCCAAAACCTAAGCAAACCCTAGAATCTTAAACTCTCCGAAACAAGACAAAGCAGTCCATAGAAATTCAACGGGGCCCCTCTCGCGATGCTTAGTTTTTCAAATCAATCATTAGGGCAAGAGAAGCCAACTTGTGGGCCCGCTGTCATCTCAAGTTTTAACGCCATCAGGCAATAAAATCAATACCAATAGTAATAATAATAATTATAATGATAATAATGATAGATGATGATGATGATAATAGTGTACTTACGATTTGGATTCCATGTTTCTCCCCATGTGCTAGATAGGCAAAGAGGCCTCCCAGGATGACGGTCACCATTGGAGCTATGGCCGATACCCAAAATAGTTTCGGGTTCCTTTTCTTCTGCAATAAAATATGGTGGTCAAGGGAAAAAGGGAATTCGATATTAGAGGGGTATTCAAATCCTATGAATACATGCAAATTATCTCGTCCCATATATCGGGTAAAGCTCCACCTGTATGGTTGTAGGCATGACACTTAACGTTAATATAATTTAAACACGGAATCTACTGGACAAATGAAGTGTCTAACCACTCAACCAATTCGTTTGAAGTTTCTTGAAGCTATCCAAAATACTTAAACTTGGCTAACTAATACTATTCCAGTAAAGACTTGACCCATCGAGTTCAAATCAAGTTCGAATTGCTCAGGTACCAACTTAATTAACATCAAACCTCATAATATGCGACTTGAGTGATTAATAACTAGCAAAGCTCAATAGAAAAAAAAGTAAGTTTTTCTGTTAGAAAATACAATCCAAAAGATCAAACCATCAAGGTGAAGGGAGGTCGCGTGTATGTAAACATTTTGCAATCTCGTACTCAAGTGATGTGAGATGACACTCAAACACTTTCTATGCTATGGACAGTTCTTTACAGGTCTCCGAGAAAAAAAAAACATGTTTAAATACCCGATTCCAGTCTAAACCAAACATATGTAGAATTCCCTACTGAGGGTTCTAGAAATTATGATTGTTCTTTCATCAAGTTGTGAGGAATGCAAATAATTCTACTAGTGGTGAAGTGGGTTGGTGAAAGAGAGGTAGAGAGAGGGAGGGTCTCACCAAGTATCGAGTGAAAAGCAGAAAAGCGAGGAAGATCAAGCCAACAACCGCGGACTCCCACCTCCACTGCACAAAAATCACAATTTCTCTTCTAAATCAGCAGCTTCCAAGAAGAGAGAACAGAAGACAAACCCATTTTTTCTTTCTACCCTTCCAATTATTAACAAGAAAGAAAGAGTGTAAATTCCATCTTTCGCTTTCAAAGCACAAGCCAAGACTTTTTGTCTCATTTTGCCACAAGACGTTTTCCTTTTGGTCTTCCCTTAGCCTTCTATATTTGACATCAACATCCGACAGATGTTTAAGAACGTGTCGTTTTCAAAGAGGTTTCGATATCGTCACGCTTTATCATTCGGCACATGTGTATCCTTATTCGTTCGGTCCAGGTATTCTCTCGGCAAGTCATGTCATCTCTCTCCATCATCCAGTTCTCGTCCACAGGGTTTTTTTTTGTCACATCGTACCTGGTGAAAATCCCTTAAAACCCAAGAAAAGGAGTGCAATAGAAGCAAATGGGTGGAGCTTATTCAATTGATCAGTTATTACGTGCCTCGTCTCGGTTCTTGAACACGGCATGCAAGACAGATATCACGTCCGTTTTGGTGGTGAAGCGAGTCAGGCCAAAGAAGCCCTTCAACTGTTGCAGGCATATTATAATCGCAGTCCCGCTCATGAAGCCGACGATCGTTGAGTGCGACAAGAAGTCCACAACAATCCCCAGTCTGCTCATAGATTTGATGAAGAACAGATAGAGATTAGCTTCTTTGCTAATTAATGAATTGAAGGAGAAATTGAGGCGCGATCACTCCTATATATACCTTAAGAACCCTAAGACTGACTGGAAGATTCCGGTGAAGAGCGTGGCTGTGAAGACCAAGCTGAGATACAATTTGGGGTCAGCGTCCGGGGACACTTTGTCTTGAATGGTCGCGGCTAGAAGCAATGAAGCAGCGGCCACGGTCCCGATCGCTATGTGCTTCGAGCTCCCAAAGATGGCGTATATAAGCGGTGGTACGAAGCTCGTATCTGTAATCAGTCAATATCGTAAGTCGAAAGATGAAGATTTGTGAAAACAATGGCATGGTTATTATGACCTCGAAGATACTTTGTCAGTCGAAAAAGGTAGCCACGTAACACTACGCACAAATAGTCCAGTTTTCGGTACACATTGACACTAAAATACGTAATATCCGTCAGGAAGTTTTCATACAAATTGCAAGTGTGCTAATCAGTGTCGTTTATATTTAATTAATGTGCTCTTATTGTCAATCCAACACATGATGCGTCGAAAACAAAAGTAAAGAGTACGCATTTTTACGCAAGCTGGCAAGTTAATCCTCTGGACTTTGCCAGATAAGTCACAAGAACATGCCATTTGGGGTATTAACTTCCGTAAGTGTGCAGTGACGCATCATTTGTCCAACGCAATCCGGCGTCGAGAACATAAAAGAGTATATCACTTACACAGCCCAACGATAGGTGGAATGTCGCCGAGCTTTGCGTAGCTGATGCCCTGGGGTATGGCGAGGCTGGTGATGGTGATGCCTGCGAGCAAGTCGTACCGGAAAAGCTTGAGGTTGTATTTGGGAAGCCACTCGAAGATCGGGACAAAGTATTGCACCGCCTTCCTGATCGGCCGCTTCTCGTTCTTGAACTGCTTGAACGGGTCATCGGGGAAGAGGGTCTCCTTTGCATGGGACTTGAAGGTGACGGCAAAGCCTAGCGGCGGTGCGAAATTCACCTTGTGGACCGATTCTTGAGAGTTGCTCATGGCCACTCAAAGCGAAATCACCCACCAAGATTTGGGGAAGAGAGAGAGAGAGAGAGAGAGAGAGAGGCGATCTAGATCAAAGTTTTAGAGAGGTGGAGCGAGAATTTTAGGTGGGTTTTTGAGCAGAAGGTGAAGTAAATGAGGTGCTATATATAGGGCAAAAGAAGTGGGCTTGCACTGTAATACCGACAGTGGCAGCCAGATACTAATATTTTATTAAAGATAAATGTATTGAAAGTGCTAAAACTTGTTACGAAATTACAATTGAGTCCTAAAATTTTCAAAAAATGCAATTAAGTCATACAATTTGTCATGAAAGTGCCGTCGAGTTCTAAAACTTTTATAACTTATCAAATTGGTCTAATTAAGTCTTTCCGCCGATTGCACTTTTTGAAAGTTTTAAGACTCGGTTGCAGTTCCGTGATAAATTTTAGGATTTGATTGTATTTATTAGGAAAAGAATCCAACTAACGGGATAATCTCAAGAGATATTCTATTTTATTTTCTTGGTGTCATATCCATCTGGCTCTGTTGATTTATCCTAACTTGGAAGAGATTACCAAATATTGTGCTATTTTACACAAGAATGGTTAATGGTTAATCTCTTCAGATTGTTTCAAAGTTGGTAAGTGACTGTTATCGAATTAGATTGAGAGAGAGCCTCGTAAGCACTGCCTCGTCTACAGTATGGAAGTCTGGTTGGACACGACAGGTGTGTCTTGTCTAGGACAGGAACGACTGGATGGATTATATATGCAACCGACAGAGAAAAAAAGAGAGAGTAGTGAATAGATTACTAGAAATAAAGAGATTCTTATCTTGTCTTTGATGTATTAGGCAGGCACGCGGTTTGGCCTGCGTTTTGCTGATGATTTACACTCCGAGACGGATAATACCAAGTGTGACCGAGAAACTGAGGAAACGAAGTTAGAAAAATCAAGGAGAAAATAAAAGATTTCTTCTATATAGTTAATGTGATATTATCAAATTTGACATTTAAATAGATGTCTTGCGCTCAAATGCCAAATAAAAGTTGGATTACTTTGTTAAGGGGTAAATTTATGAAAATGAATATCACCATACTTTGATTCACCTACCCAAGATGTTATCATAATTTTCTACAATTTCTTCTCTCTGTCTAACGATAGAGTAGCCAAATCAACACTGCCGCCTCCCACGTAGGAGATTCGTTGTGACTCCACCGTTGCTCTGACGCAGATAGTTCAGCTGATGGTGGCAAGCGGAGGCGGGTGAGAGATGGGTTTGGCGCCAATGGTTAAATGCGACGGGTGGCGGTGGCCAGATGTTGGTTTGGCATGGCGAGAGATATAAGGGATCATGAAATTCGAATCATTTTTATGTATCGATATGGGGATCTTATCTGGCTGACGAATTAATAATTGTGGCCATTGAATCTATCTTAATCCACTTTATTCTGTTATGTGTCCACCAATTTTGTAGAAAAGTCTAAATAGATCCCGTATAGAGGCTCAAGACATGCCGAAATAGAAAACATGTATACGCATCACTACCATTGCTCAAGTTTGTGAGCTTATCTCAATGAGAAATTTGGGCCTTTGTGCCTAGCTCATCGCTTATAGAAAAAAGAAAAAAAAAAGTCTACGAAGACCATTGAAGAAAAATAAAAGCAGAAATAATGTAAAAGGTGACATTTAGTAAAAGGAAGCGCGGGCAAAACAGTACTATGCTCCATTGACTTTTTCGGAGATGTGGAGGTTGACTCTATTCTTTTGATATATTTGGTGGTGCAGAAGACCTAGTTAGGTGAATATTCGTCTGAGAATATTTGGTTTAGTTACAAAGAATGATTTCTTCAAGAAAATAGTAACTTTACATTTTCGTTGGCTTGATAATAGCTTTACATTGCTTGCGATCGCTTAGATTCTCAATATATATTTCCATGTGATTTTCCTCTATCTATTACTGTAATTAAATTTTTGGATTGGACATTGTAACGAGAAAAACGAGGTCTTTTATAATACGAAAACGGGCTTAACTAATTAGAGGGTTAAACACGTTGCGAGGGCTATTGCTTGATTAAACACTTAGCACTACGTTCACGATCAAGATTTTGTTCCTCCGAGCTCTAGTCACCGGAGACTAAATTATTGCGAATCACTAGTTTCTCTTGGATGTCTTGCTTAAATCAAGATTATGTTTCAGTCTCATAAGTTAACCAAAAGTCAAAGGATCGGACACCAATTGTCGAAGAACAGTGAAAGAGCTGCCAAACATTAGCAATGGTTATAGTCCTTATAGCCCAACGAAACGGCGGAAAATGATCAAATCGGTCATGTCACTCAAATTTCGTGGCTAAAGTCGTTTGTGATGGACCAGAACATGATAGACGCTTTGATGATTGACTGGTGTCATCGCGATGCTTTGTCCATTGAAAAACCTTAGTCTCAACCACAGCTTCACCCCCCCTTAATCAGATTAATTATGGCTAATAAGGATCTGACACTTCAATAAGGGAAAAATTACCAAAAAAAGTTATAAACCTTTCAATTTGATCAATTTAGTATTAAACATTTTTGATAATCTGTCAATTAAGTCATTTCGATCAATTTTCGCCGAAAATCTCTGGTATGAACATTGGCCGTCCTACATAGCATCGGCAACCCTTGTTGGCCGGCAAGGCAATCGGTGAGGCGTGACCAGCAAGGGTTACCATTAACCACTTAAAAAAAATTAAATTAAATTATTTTTCTTTTCTTTTATTCTGGTTTTTTTTTTCATTGTGCCAGCGACGATCACCGGTGACCCTCGCTGGCTGCGAGCAAGGCAGCCCTCCCAAACTAGTGAGGGCCTTTGTGGCCCCGTTGGCCATGGGTGAGGCCTGCGTGGTCAGCAAGGGTCGCCAGTGACCCTCGACACAATGAAAAAAAAAAAAGCAAAGAAAAAAGAAAAGAAAAATTAAAAAAATTAAAAAAATTCAATTTTTTAAAAATATTACAAAAATTGTCTATGTCAGTGCTGGCCTTGTCACGTAAGATGGCCGGCGTTTAGGCCATTGATTTCCAGTCAAAATTGATCGGAAGGACTTAATTAGCAAATTGTCAAAAAGCTTAAGACTAAATTGATCAAATTAAAATATTTATGACTGAAATAGTACAAGTGAAATAGGTTTAGTACTTTTTTTTGTTAATTTACCCCTACAATAAGCACCCTCTTGTAGATTGCGAAAGAAAAATCAAAGCCTTCTTCCTAGAATCATCTATTAACCTAACTTTAGCAAAAGAAGTTCGTTTGGAAAACCTTATCTTTCTTCCACACGTCTGCTTGGGCACTTCTTCTCTTTTGGCACGAAGCATCTGCATTGAAACTCATGTTCAAACTTAGCTAGCTTGACCGGAGTAGTAGTAAAATAATTCTATTCCAATTTATTTCAAGAAACCTGATATATGAAGGCGTAGTTTGCTAGTTAAATGTTTGAATATGTTGGGGAAAGCTTAGCAGAAGTCGAGTAACCTTTGAATAAGGAGATCTAAAAGAGCCCAACACTTGAGCTTATAAACAACTGTAATTGGACGCAGCCGCCCCGTGCGCCCCTTATACATCCGCACTGACGAATGTTCACCCGAATCTCTAAGGATCACCAAACAGTGCCAACGCGTCTTCACCCATGGTCTCTTCCCGGACCGAACTGAGATAGAAAACCCTACTCGGCCACCGTAATGTGTAATTAAAGGCTGCGAATGGTCCACGTTAGGTGGACCTAGCTAACGTGGATCGGATTGTCACATAATCTCATATTTTTCTTGATATGTAATTAATTGAGATAATTAAGTCATAAACCTAATGCACTTATGCCAATTTAGTCATAATCATTTCAATTGTGTTATTTTAGTCTTAAACATTTTCGCATATTGCTAAATGAGACCATCCGGCCAATTTTGACCGAAAATCGTTGACATGGGCTCCGGTAATCCTACGTAGATTTATTAGATTTGTTGCTAAAATATCGGTATTAAATCCGAAACAGCTGACATTAATATGGATAATTTGTTTTCATTTTTTAATATTTTTCCAATTTTTTTATTAATTTTTTTCTTTTTCCTTTTCTTTTTCTTCTATTTTCTTTCTTTCTTTCTTTTTTTCTACTATAGCAAGCAAGGGTCATCGGAGCTCGCTGGCCACTGGGCGAGGGCCACGGAGTCTCCGCCGGCCGCCGGCGAGGGTTGCAGCCCTCGCCCAGATTTGGGTGTGGCAATTGTGGCAGCGAGCAAGGCTGCCTTGCCATGGCCTTGCAGTCCGTGGGTGAAGGCAGCCATGGCAAGTTTGCCCTCACCCTGTGGCCGACGTCGACGAGCTCTGATGACCTTTGTTAGTCATAGTGAAAAAAAAAAAGAAGGAAAAGAGAAGAGAAGAAAAAATTTCAGAAAATTTTAATAAAAAATTTCAGAAAATTTAAAAAATTATCTTCGTCAGTGCTAGCCATGTCAGGGAGGACGGCTAGGGTTCACATCAACAATTTCCAGTCAAAATTGGCTAAATGGACTTCATTGGTAAAACGTGAAAATATTTATGATTAAGTTAGCACAATTGAAAGGTTTAGGACTGACTTGGCACAAATGCAAGTGCAATGGGATTAGGGCTTTTTTGATAATTTTCCTACCTTTACAAAGTGAAAAAGTAAATTACTTTTGCATGACCCAATGTTTGCTCCAAATTGACAAGGTAATTATTATCAAAGTCCCAGTGGGAGACGAAGACGAGAGTTCTGACCATGACCTTATGAAAGTAAAATATCGTTTACTCTGTCTATTTCTTTTATTTCGAATTCTATTCTGAGCGTGCTCCGAAGCCATAAAGGAAGTCAAATTAGGGTTACCACTAACCACTTAAATAAGCCTAACACACTTTAATTTTTCTGCAAAGACTAAGCCACGCGTGATGTCAATTAAAGTAGCCTGCTCAACTTTCTGTATTTCCACCTACGAAATGATTCTAATCACACGAGTCTAGGTCAACCAATTTAATTAGCTATTCTTTTGGAAGCAACTTTGAGCAATTATTCCGGTTAGTTTATCTTGCTTTCTTGCAGTCTGATTTATCAGAAAACATTATGATTGAATGTGGATT